CACAAGGGGACGGGAAATAACCAGAAAAGCATGACATGGGACCTTTAACAGTAACGGCCCGTCTACACTACAGGCATAAAAAAATCTTGAAGCTGGGCGTGTCTGAAGCTTGGCGANTCCCCATAACGATGTTGCTTAGCAACCGGCGTAAACGGAGCTCAGCGCGCTATCAAGCAGTGAGCGTTCGATGTCCTGTTCAGATGACGTCACAGCCAAGTTGGCTGTGACGTCATCTGAACAGGACATCGAACGCTCACTGCTTGATAGCGCGCTGAGCTCCGTTTACGCCGGTTGCTAAGCAACATCGTTATGGGGAAATTCAAGTCTGCGTCCAAATGGTTGGAAGATAAGGAGGAAGGACAATCAATACTGTATATAGTCAAAGTGTGTTGCCAAGGTAACCGGTTAGAACTCAAAGTGGCGATGAGGTCTTAAAATGTATGGAAAGGGTCTTAAAAGGTCCTACATTTGAATTCAGGGTTCCTGCATATACCCTGCTATAACATCACAAACAAATTAAGTTTACCTCGCTGTTCAGCGTTTCTTTATTTATCAAATATTCGAAATGCTCCTCGACAGACTTAAGCGCTCGCTGTTGAAAATATAAGACCTGTTCTCCAGAGGCAGGAATCCGTCATTACATCTTTCTAAGATAAAGCTAGCTCCAAAAAGTATGTTTTGAATATTTTCCATGTTGAAATATACAACTATAAAACAATGAAATACAGAAGGCATCAGCTGACATGATCACCTGGAGTAAATGCAGTTTACAAATAATGGTACATTTAATAAGTACAATATATATAAAAGATAATCAGAATTACTTTAGTCCCACAAAGGGAACATTTACATTGTTGCAGCCAAGAGACAATACTGATAAAAATAAAACGGTCTCTAGTAAAGTGGCAAGCATTTCCTGGTCATAACTAAAAACGTGTGTTTTCTCGATGCAGTACTTTCACTTGTAATGGAGTATTTTTACAGTGTGGAATTACTACTTTAACTAAAGATCTGCAAAAGTGAAAAGAAACTAAGTACATTTACTCAAGTACTGCACTTAAGTACAATTTTAAGATATTTGTACTTTACTTGAGTATTTCCATTTTACGCAACTTCCCCCACAGTTCAGAGGTAAATCGTGTACTTTTACTCATGTATTTAATACCTTTAGTTACTTCTCAGATGTGGATGAATGATGTGAAATCTAATCAAGTGTTAAATCAGACTTTAGTTCCACCTGGAGTAAATCCACAAGCTACCCTGCAGTATACAAAGTCATTCAGACTAGCTGCACCTTTACCAGCTTTGAGAACACTTTCATGATCAATCATTATAAAACATATCATATATATTAATCTGAAATGGACCAATCTGCACAATGACTACTTTTACTTTTGCTATATTTTGATGCAAATTATTTTTCTACTTTTACTTGAGTAACATTTTGAATGCAGGACTTTTACTGTAACAGAGTATTCCTACACTCTGGTACTTCATAGTACTAGACCTGAGTACTTGTTCCTCCTCTGTTAACATGTTGGGGAAATGTGAAATCACTCCCCCAAAGAGTGTTGTCGTCACCGGTCAGAGCAGAGGATCCACTCCGGAGGAGGACCAGTCCGAGGCAGAGGCTGATCCGAAGATGTGAAGACAAACCCGGCGTTTCCCCAGCAGCTTCTCTCCACTTTCCTCCGGGGGAAAATCATTTTTTATACATGCATTTTGCAGCTTTCTCTTTTATTTCATTTTTGCATTTGTGAGCGCTCGCCATGGCAGTTCAGTTCGCATCCGGGCCACAATGCCTTGACTCCATTATTGTCTAAAACTGGCTGAGAGGTTGATAAACCTTGATATTATAATTTTTATTTTTTACAGTTAATTTTTTTTTATTACGTGAAGTGAAGGCTGGAACCAAGAGGACATGTCTAACCAAGGAGTCCGGCGGAATGGCCCTGTGAAGCTGCGACTAACAGGTAGCAACGCTGTTTAAATCCCCATGGGAACTGGTCGCATCCAGCAAATAGACGAAGCCTGTCTGGCTAGTGTGTGGATAATACACTGGATAGGGGGGCTCAGACTATTACACCCAGCAAATAGACGGGGCTAGACGGGCACCGTCTATTTGCTGGACGTGGAGAGTTTCCCAACCAAGGGGGCTCTGTCTACTACATCCAGCAGATGGACGGGGCTAGGTGGGCTCCGTCTATTTGCTGGATGGGACCAGATCCCATAGGCTATATGGAATTGGCTAACCGCCGGTTCTTTCTACTGTGATTTCTACGATTTTGTAAACAGCTTCAATGCATTTTATAAATTATTTGTTTTTACAGTGTTGACCTTTATCTGAAAATTGACTAGACCCCTAGATGAAGCTAAATGTGGATATTACTGTTCCTGGAAGTAGTCTGATTCCTATGTTGTGCTACTCTGCCCATTAAGAGTGTGCTTACACTTATATAAACCAACATTTGGCCTGCTATCTTACATTTTTATTTTGTTTATAGATACATATATGCAATGTCAGTGTTACCCAACTATAACACTGTTCTGCCCACAGACAGGCTCATATAAAGTTGGCTAGCAGACATTAGCCTAGCATGCCAGCTAGCCATAATTAAACCTTTATGATGCCAGGCTCCACAGGTCAGAGAGCCTGGATCTGAACAGAGAGCTTTGTCATATAAGGGAATACACACACACACACACACACACACACACACACACACACACACACACACACACACACACACACACACACACACACACACACACACACACACACACACACACACACCCACACACACACACAGAAAGCTACATCTTTTGTGATTAAAACAGGTCACCATAAGTTGTGTTTCACACAAACAACTTTTTAAATGCACAGGTAATTGATCTTAAGAACTTTTTGTAATATCATTTTCTGTTTAAGTTGAATTATTAGAGATGCATGTTGCTCAAAGTTTTTAATTCTG